GAATTGATTCTTGGGTCTAGACTCTAAGATAGCTTTACAGATGGTATTAGCCATGTACAGGAAAGTTATTAACTAAGGAGATAAAAATCTCTGGCTTAATAAAAAGAGCATTCTGTTATTCAAACTGATACCAAAATATAATAAACTGATGCCAGACTGTAATGAACCTCCAGTTCTACAGGATGAGTGAGCTCAAGAGAGAGGGAACCCACAATTACTGAAAAAATTAGTTTTGATTTGCGTTCATCCTTCACACTTGTGTCAGGTCTTTTTTCCCCCAGAAAAACGTCTTTATTTGGTTGCTTTGTGTAAGTCTGCAGAAATTTTTGCTTACTGAAAGCAAGTGTCATTGTTTTATTAAGCTTATCAGCTAATGAAGTATTTGATCTGTAAGTAAGAATTTGTTAATCTGTTAGCAAGGTTCTGTCCTAATGCACTTTTAGAGGCTCTTTCCAGCGTATTCTTAGTTTGTTATTTAAATGCTAATAGAAATTATAGGAATTGCATACTTTAATTTTTTCCTAATTCTTGAAACTAGTTGAGAACTAGAAGCTGAAATGAAGCAAAAAAAAAAAAAAAAAAAACAAAAAACAGTGTGCATCTTTCCTTTTTCACGACCAACAATTTCCAAGCTATTTTGCAAATATAGGACAGCTGCTTTATTGAGCTAAAAAAACACTACAAAATGTAATGATAGCACTTTGGACTCTATTCTGATCTCCCTTAAACTCCACACAGCTTGGATTTTTCTGTAATTTTAATGAAAATGTGGCATGGCACATCTCTCTCATTTAAATTATGCACTGTCAGTATTTTCCTTCTTTGCAACTGAAGCACTTCTTGGGAAACATGCCAGGTACAGGAGGGGAGGGAGAAAACCAAAAATAGAAAATGGAAGTGGGGGTAGGTTTTGAAAGAAACTGGACTAAACAAATACTTTCTCCACAACGACCATTTTTTATGGACTTACAAATCACGGGGAAATGGGTACAGAAATTCAAGTAAGATTCACGTAGCTTCAGCAAACCTAAATGGTGCTAAAAACAGGTCAAAATAGGGCTACAAGTAAAACCTTGAAAACTCTCGATTTGTTTAAATCTAACACAAAATATATTCATTTTACTAGAATGTCTGAATACATATTACTACATAACTATGTAAGGCTTGATCATCACGTGTAAAGTAGTGAAACATCAGTAGTGTTTCTTCATACAAGAGACAATTTCACAATTTCTCACTTAAAGCTTCTTCCTTCACCTGCTGTGCTCTTCCTTTGTTTTCTAAGCAAGGATCAATCTTTCGTTTATTTAATAAGTATTTGTTGAGAGCCTGAATGAAAAACAAGACAGAGTCCTAATTTACTGTCATCTGTTACAAGTCCATTTTTTGTAGAATTCAGATATAGAGAGAAATAATTCCCTTTAGGAGACATGTATATATCTCTCTCTCTATTTTTTTGTTTTGAGAGATTTTTGCTATAGGGCGCGTGTACTCACCAGAAGGACAGAGAGAGACAGAGAGACAGAAAGCGAGAAATCACCGCCCAAGGGGATGGCCATGCTGCAATCCCTTCTCCTCCATTCTCCTCTCAGGATCCTGGGCACGCATGCACACATGCCCGGTGTGACTTTAAGCCACCGGGTCTGGGACTCGAATCGCTGTCAACTACATGGGAGTCCAGCAATATAGCCATTATGCCACTGCTGGTCCAGGAAATGATTTTTTTTTTTTTAAAGTACAGACATTATACACACACACACACTTATATAGTATATATTATATAAGTTCCATATATTATATATAGGCACCATATATATTATCTACAATATATAGGTACTATATATATATTTGCATATATACACACGCATATGTATATATATATATACATATATGTGTATATATATAAATAATATATATAAATAAATTTTGTTATAGGGTATGTGTGCTCATTAAAGAGAAAGAGAGAGAGAAAGAGGGAGCATGAGAAAGCACCCCTGGGTGGGGGTGGGGGTGACCAGACCACAATCCCTTCTCCTCTATTCTCCTCTCAGGATCTTGGCTATATATGTGTGCACACTTGGCATCTTCCTCAAACCACAAGATTAAACTGTATGGTCAGTCATATAGGATCCAGACTTTTTTTTTTTTTTTTTTTTTAAGTTTAGCCATAGGGCATGTGCACACACAGGGATGGCCACACCATAATCCCTTCTCCATTCTCTTCCTGGGATTATGAGCATGCATGCACATGCACTCGGTATGACTTTCATACCACCAGGTCTGGGACTCAAAACAGCATTTTCCTTATGGAAGTCTAGTGCTGAAACCGAGCAAGGACTATTCTCCTAGCGTTCCTGAAATATAAAGTCCATTTACATTGTAATGTCCCAGAGTAAGGAGTAAGTCTTCAGACTTTGGTTATGATAAGGACCAACATGAACCATGAGTGAGGGCCATTTGACCTCTAAAACTCTCACTTAAAGGAAAGAAGGTTTTCATTTCAATAAGTAAGATGTTTTGTAGGCTGGAAACTGCTGGTTGTGAGCTCCAAGAATTCAGGCTGAACGATTCCAGACACCTGAAGAGGAATTTGATTATCTAAGGCCTCACCAATCAAGAATGCTCACGAGATGATCACGCCCTCTTGAACCAATCGGTGAACAGATCATGTGCCTAGGAACCTCTGCCCCTAATTTTTGTCCTTAAAAAGGCATGTGGGGAACATCTCGGGGAGACCACATCTTTTCAGCATGAGGCTGTCCGCTCGCCTTACTTTGTGCTTTGCAATAAAGCTGTGCTTTTCTTCATCACACCATGTGCCTATGGTTTGGTTTTATAACACTTGGGTGAGCGAACCTGATTTGAGTTCCATAACAGTGCCTTAAGCACTAAGCCACCTGCTGGTTCCCCGGATCCAGACATCTTAACCACCACATTACCTACTGACCTAACACCATATTTTTATCAATAAAAATTTTCCATACAAATCTGTTATAATTTCATAAATTACTTTTTGCATTTAATTCTCTCCTTAGTCTGACATGAGAGTATTGTAACTTCCCTGTCTTATGGAGGAGGAGCACATTTAGAAAGTTATGACAATCAGTGATCATCATCACTTGTTGGCACAAATACAACTCAAACTGGGGCCTTCAGACTTTCCCATGACGGTGCAGAGGTAGAGAATGTGTGCTCTGGAATCAGAGTGACAGGGGTTTGACTCACAGTTAAACTCCTTATCATCGCCTTAGGCAAATTACTTAACCCTCCTGGGCCCTTCTTAGGTCCCCCCTAAATGGGGGCCATGGAAAACCTTACTCAGAGAATTGTAGGAAGGAGTACATTACACAAAGTCTGTGTGTCTTGGGAAATCCAGAAAAGGTTAACTGTTGCTTTGTTACAGAACATTATAAAGAACATTAAAAATGAGGAAGAAAGTCCAGTTGAATGGAGTAAAAGAAACAGGATATTCCAGGAGAATAGAAATGGAAATTAACCATTTAGTGCATCCTACTTGGGACTAGTGTTGGGAATAGGGAGTGTCTCAGGAGGCTAGGGCATCAGCTCAAAAATAACTTTTCCACATATTAAGAGATTTCCCTTGGGATAAGTTAGCAGGTCTTTTAAAATCTAAATCCTTGGGGTTGGGAAAACCTAAGTGGTAGCATTTCTCAGTGATTCACCCTGTTGTAAATTCTTTTAATCATGTATCTTCTGTGAGATCTCCTGCAAGGAAAGAAACAGGAAAGCTTTTGGTGTATTTTGGGACAGGGTGGGTCTAGAAGAGAAGAATTAGGATGGTTGACTCCTGAGGGACCTGGTTACTTGGGGAAAAAAACGTAGGGCATTCCAAAAGAAGAATGAAGAGTCTGGAAAATGTGGAAGTGTTCCAAAATAAACTTCCTTTATTTTATGATTTAGTTTCGGATTGTTAACTGCCTGGTGTCAATAAAAACCATCTCTCAGTTTGCCTTTGGCACTGCTGGCATGGTGCTGATGCCGGAGCTCGGTTACCTGGTCTGGGAAAACCTTGCAATACCTCACAGCACTCTCTAGTTCCAAGTGTCCAAAGGATTCTGCAGGCAGACACTTGTTCTGCCCAATTAACTGAGTCAAAGTCTCTATGAGTATAGAGCTTATTTTCTCTCTGAAACTTCCTTGCATTCATATTTAAATTGTACTTTAAAAATAAGATTTACTTATTTATTTCTTCTATTAGAGAGAGATAGAGAGACGGTCACCCCAACAGTCTTCATGGAGTGCCCTGTCCCCAGCCTCAGCCAGCGTATCATAGATATGCAGGGTGTGTGTGTTTACTTGGACTGTGCAGAGAGGCCTTCAGACATGAACCCAGGACCTTCCTGTGTGGGTCTGGTTATAGTGTGCATCTGGTTTATCTGTGCCACAACCTGGTCCTGAAATTATAACTTTCGATGTCTTTTCTGAATTATTTTAAGCTAGGAAGTTTATGAATACCTGTTCCTCACCATTACTAAAAGAGTTGGTTAGAATGAAACCTGCAGCTTATAGAGCTGCCACAGGGTAGCATGTGCCCTAGGAGCTGTGCAAAGCCTTCCCCTAATTCACCCTACAGGCAGCATCAGAAAGGGGTCCTTGTAGGAGACTATTGGCTCTTTTCTATTTTTAAGACAGGGTAATTCCATGTCACAATTCTCCTGCCTCAGCCACCCAGCTGAGCCATGAGCCACCACAATGACTTTTCTAGACAAGGTCTCAGTATGTTTGCTGCACAGGCCAGCCACAGCCACAAGCTCATGGTCTTCCTGTGTCAGCCTTCTGAGTTGCTGGGATTACAGGCACATGGCACCACGCCCAGATTTAAGGTTGGACCAGGAAAAAGCCTGGGACTCCCGTGTGGCTGCAATCTATGCAGTGGCATTTTCCACTGTGGCTGGGCCAAGAGCCCCTTCACTGTTCAATTCCCTCTTTCCCACCAAGTACAATCTGTTCTTGATGCACTATATTTTACCTGTGACTGACCATAGCATCTGGGCGTGATCTGGTGCCCAGTGTTCTAGGAGAAGAAAGATGGGCTCTTCTTTTGCTGCAGTAAAGAGGAAAAAAAAAAAATTAAAGCATCAGGCTTCAACATGTCAGTGTACTCAGCAATGAGGAGCTGCAGCTGAGAAGGAGGTGAGCAGCAGAGGGTACCCCAGTGGACCCAAGTCCCATGAGCCTAGAGTTGTGAGTTTGAATTGTAGCTGTGTCCTTTGCCTACAATTTCCCAATCTGTAAAACAAGGGGGTCAAATTCATTGATCCATTATTCTGATCCTCTGAGTTGGTAAGAACCAGTCATTGCTGATATAATAGTGGTTCTTAGTCCAGCTCTGAATCAGCAGGCACAGCCCCGTGGTTCTGATCTAATTGCTGATTCTAGGATCTAACAATGAACTGTTATGAAATCCCTCTTTTCCATCCTCTATTTTGTTGTTGTTGTTGTTGTTTTTTAGAAGTTTTTGCCTTGGGCATGCATGATCATTCGGGAGAGAGACAGAGACAGCTAAAGGGAAAGTGAGAAATCATCCCCCAGGTGGGATGGCCATGCTGCAATCCCTTCTCCTTCATTCTCCTCCAAGGATCTTGGGCATGCCCGCACATGCGCCTGGAGTGATTTTCAAGCCACTGAGTCCAGGACAAGAACTGCCATCAGCCATGTGGGAGTCCAGTGACATAACCTCTACGCCATCTGCTGGTTCCTTCTATCCTCTATGTGAAAGCAGGAATCTCCAAATTCTAGTTTTTGAACTGCTCCTTTCATCCTCACATTTGGTTGCTTTTGGATTTTACCACTCAGTGCTACATCTAAATAGGTAGAGGTGATGTGAAAATCAAAAAGGCAGAAAGCTGAGTCAGAACCGAACTGTAGACTAGTGACTGCAATTTTACCCCAAAGCAGGGCTGTGATTCTGGAAGAACTATGATTTGTTGGTTCCCACCCATGAAGATGGAAGTAATCACCTCTCCCCAGAATGTGTACTGGCACCGGCTTGCGGAAGCTGCGCGAAATAGCAACTTCCTGGTAGCTTATTCAGTTCTACCATCCGTCTTGCAAGTTGTAATTAAAGTACATTACCATGAACAGACGCTAATGTACTGGAATTCTTAGGACTGAACATTGAACTATTATGCATTATGACGATATTGATTAAGGCTTAGATACCTGCATCTTTAAAGGAGGTAAAAATCTCAGACATTTAAATTCAATGTAAACGTTCATTGTGGCATTCATTTAAGATACAGTTTCCAAGTACCTACTATGTGTGGCATACTGTAAAATAATGAGTGGAGATTACTTGCTGAATAGAATCTGGATTTCAGACTCAAGAACACTTTGTAGGTTTTGTTTGTTTTCTCTGGTACTGAGTTTGAGCACGATGCACAGTTTCGGTGAGCTGTCACTTTCTCTTGGGAACAACAAATATCTCACAAGATCTTTGGGATTATAAGTGTATCAGACATATAGGTTTTCAGGTTTTTTGTTTTTGTTTTTGTTTTTTTGAGAGGTTTTTGCTATGGGGCACATGCGCTCACCAGAAAGGCAGAGAGAGACAGAGAGACAGAAAGCGAGAAATCACCCCCCAGGGAGGATGGCCACACCACCATCCCCTCTCCTCCATTCTCCTCTCGGGATCTTGGGCACACACGCACATGCACCTGGCATGAGTTTAAGCCACCGGGTCTGGGACTCGAACTGCAGGTGACTACACGAGAGTCCAGCAACATAGCCATTACACTAACTGCTGGTCCATAGACTTGCTGGTTTTCAAAAATACTCTTTTATGAGTTGGTGAGTTGGTTTATTTAATAATTACAGCCTCCACTTAAGATATTGTAATAGTAACTTCATAGGGTATAGCTTTGTTTTGTTTTGTTTTGAGACAGGATGTTGCCCAGGCTGGCTTCAAACTCTCAATCTTACTGCCTCAGCCCTCTGAGCAGCCTGAAGTATAGGCATGCAACTACTGCAAGCTGCCTTAAAGTGATTAGCAAATAATTTTTTCTTTTTTTTTTTTTTTCTGATTTTTTTTTTTGTTTTTTAGAGTTTTTTGCTATTGGGCACGTGAGCTTGCCAGAAAGACAGAGAGAGACAGAGAGACAGAAAGCGAGAAATCACCCCCCAGGGGGGATGGCCATGCTGCAATCTCTTCTCCTCTATTCTCCTCTCAGGATCTTGGGTATACGAGCACACATGCCCGGTGTGAGTTTAAGCCACTGGGCCTGGGACTCGAACCATGGCCAACTATGTGGGAGTCCAGCGACATAGCTATTACACCAACTGCTGGTCCCTAGCAAATAATTTTTTAAAAAGAAATTCATTCTGGGCTGGCAGGTGGCATGGTGGTAAAAGGCACTCGGCTCCCTCATGGCCCACCATGGTTTGAGTCCTGGACCTAGCTGCTCTCTCTCTGGTCAAAATTGAAAAATAATGGGAACCAGCAGTTAGCATAATGGCTATGTCACTGGACTGCCACGTAGTCGACTGCGGTTCGCGTCCTGGACCCGGTGGCTTAAACTCCTGCCTGGCACGTGTGCATGCATGCCTAAGATCCCAAGAGGAGAATGGAGGAGAAGGGATGGTGGCGTGACCATCCCCCCTGGGGGGTGATTTCTCGCTTTCTGTCTCTATGTCTCTCTCTGTCTGTATGGCGAGCGCACATGCCCTATAGCGAAAATCTCTCTAAAAAAAAATTGAAAAATAATGATAATAAAGAAATAATTCTTTTTTAAAAAGAATTATTTGTAAACAATTATTTATTCAATTGAATTAAAAATTATTATTATTCAATTTGACCAGAGAGAAAGAGAGGTGAGAAAGCAAGTCACCAGGTCTAGGACTCAAACCCTGCTCAGCCATGTGGGAGTACACCACCTTAACACCACACCACCTGCCAGGTCCAAAGCATTTTAATCTCATGTCACTCTGTCAGATTAGTGTAAGCATTTTGTCTTCATTTAAAGATAAAAAAAGTGAGATCCAGACATGTTGGACTGACATGGCCTATGTCAGCTAGTCCTTCAAAATGAACTGTTGGTTCAAGCTGCCTTAATTTTTTTTTCTTTTTTTTTCATATTTGCTAATGAAGAAAATGACCTTCTAAATGGTTGAAATGTCTGGCTCTTCTCATACTTGGAAGATATTTCTGATCTGTAAATATATAAGCATGCCTCGAAGTTTCCTATTAATATAAATGAATTCCGTTGCAGAACTCTGTATCTCATCTTCCCTCAACAGCCAGACACACCACATAACTTTTAGGACGGAGTTCAGTGCATTTGCTACTGAAGAATTCTCTGATATTAAGATGATCTGAGTAGTGATCAGCATAAGTGCGTGTTTTCAAACCAGAACATCCTGATTTTCCACACATCAAGTCATTTGTAGTGGATCACAACCAGGGCCTTTAATATGCAGTATGATTTCTGGAGAAAAGCATTGTCTAAGAAATAATTCTCCTGTTAGACAATTCTTTAAGTTGATGGTAGTCTTTTATTCTCTAATTAGAAATGAGACTTGAAATGCAAATATCCACAAGCATAGTAGCTAATTTGCACTAAGGCAAGTGATACCAGTTTCTTCTGGGTGGTGGGCATTTAGCTATGGGGAAGGGCACTGAAAACAAGCAAAACCAATCCCACAAAGGTCACCAGATCCCCAAGGTCATAGGAGAATTGAGAAAGATAGAGACTAGAAACTGTGATGAGTGAAGGTCTAATACATAAAAGAGTGAAACAAGGGGTTGAGAATAGCAATATTGCTCTGTAGATTGACTTTAAGGTTTTTGTTAACAGCAAATATTGGTTTGAGTATGAAGATCTCTCATACTTTGCTGATGGGAAGAATGAATTGGTACAGTAACTTTGGAGGATGAATTGGCAGTATATTAAAATTCAAACTTTACCTCAAAATCCAAGCAAAGAGGATAAGCAGGTGGTATGAAGGTTAAGGCACTGGATCCCACATGGCCAACTCTGTAGTTCAAGCCCCGGACCATGATTGAAAATCGTGCCAGGCATGTATGTCAGCATACCCAAAATCCCAAGAGGAGGATGGATCAAAAGGAACTGCGGTATGCCCATCATCCCAGGGGTGCTTTCTCACTTTCCATCTCTCTCTCTCTTGTAAGCACACACACCCTACAGCAAAAACAAACAAACAAAACCTCCACAACAACAAAAAACACCCAACCAAAGACTATCATACATATACTAAGTAGACACATGCACTGATGTCCAATGTTTCATATTAGACAAGGAAAATATAGAAAAGACTCAGCTTAAATGTTCAGCAAAGAAAGAATAGTTTCACAGGATAAAGTACATTCATATCATGACATACTAAGTAGCAGCTAAGGTAAAAAAGACTAGTCAATACAAACTGCTGTGGAAAGAGAGTTAATACCTATAGTGAAGTGAAAAAAAATCATTCTCTTACTTAAACCCTACTCTAAATTTATATTTTTCTATATGCATAGAAAAATTCTGGATGGCATGCTCAGAATGAGTAATGATGATGGCCTCTACTTCTGGTATTGGAAGTAGTAATTTTAAGAGAAATTAGAAATGTATATTGACATTTTTTATTCGAATCCACTCATGTATTTAAAAAGATAAAAAATGTACAAGATACATATTAATGCATAATTGATAAGAATTCTGAAAATCGGAAATGAATCATGGAATCCGAGGTCTGTAAGGGTTTCATAGACTTTGAATTTTAGTTCACAGCACACGAGTGGAAGATAGAGAGATTTCCTATGTACCCACCTATACTCACACATGCAGAGCCTTCCTCTTTATCAACATCCCGCCTCAGTGTGGTACAACTGATGAACCTACCTTGACACATGATTGTCACCCAGAGTCCTGAGTTTACGTTCAGGTTCACTGTTAATGTTCTACACTCTATAGGTTTGGACAAAGCATTATAATGACATATGAAATAGAGCATCTTGTTAACATACTTATTTCTCATCTGTATATCTTCTTTGATGAAGTGTCTGTAAAGATTTTGGGCCTACTTTTTAATAGAATTATTTGTGTT